GATGTTTCAAAAAGAACTTACAGAGGAAAGAAAACCTCGATCTTCAAGATGACTCAGTGTCTAGAATTTAGAAGACTGAGAAGCTTCCTGGAACCTTTGCCTATGTCACCAAACCCTGGACAATATGTAAGTTCACCGAGTGTACAGATACAATTATTGTCCTGGAAATTGCTGAAATGTATACTAAGAGCCTTTCTTACCAATGTATAAACCTACAGTCATAACTGCAGTGATTTCTGACAAGAATATGCCCTGCCTGCAATTCTCTAGAGGAGTTCAATCTCTTATATAACGGCATTCTCTGTGACTTGATCAAAACTGGCCAATGACCTAAAGGCTTGTATCACTGCACTTTTTCTTTGGTAATTTCATGTTATTGCTGAATTTCACATTATTTTATTAAGTAGAGCTTAAGTATACTTCATAGTTGTTACCAATTTTTTAAATCAATATGATTGGGGTATCAATGCATTCATGAATACTTGGACTATTAATGAGAAGATATGAATACTTCTGTCTTGGAAACTAAGGGAAAGGAGATTGAAATTGAAGCTGGTAGCATAGAATATTGCTGATTGAGGAGAATTATGCATTGGAGAACCAGTGACTACCATAGCAATATGGTATGTGAGTCCTTCTCGTATATCAAAGTAGAAAGGAAAAAGAACTTACAGAATTCAGACCAACAAAATGATGGAACAGGTTTACTGTAGAGAGAGAATGAGCAGGAATTGTGGCAGGCTACTTTTTATCCTTCTAGACCAGGCATCCCCAAACTTTTTACACAAGGGGCCAGTTCACTGTCCCTCAGACCATTGGAGGGCCACCACATACTGTGCTCCTCTCACTGACCACCAGTGAAAGAGGTGCCCCTTCCTGAAGTGCGGCGGGGGGCCGGATAAATGGCCTCAGGGGGCCACATGCAGCCCACGGGCCGTAGTTTGGGGACGCCTGTTCTAGACTTTCCCTGCCACCCTTGGGGACACCAGTCACTGCCCTGCCCTAGTCATATTTGCCAGTAAATAGACAGACAAGCCTGTTCCTTCCTAGAACCATCAGGAAGCCAGAAAGAGGGTACAACCTTTGTCCTTGACCAAGCTGAGACCTGTCCCCACCATCCCCACCACGATCGTTCCTGGATTTCGGGGGGTCTCTGCTCCTAGCACTCCAGAGCCATAGCAGCTAGGCCGGGGGCAGTAGGGGAATTGGAGACATCAGCACCCTACATGCCAGTGGAGATGCAGCAGCCTCCCCACCCTGCTCATTCTTTTCCACTCTGTTTCCAGTGCAAGAATGCATCCTTCTCTTCCCTGTATTCTGGAAGAAATTTTCTCAAATGACCATGCTCAATGCTCATGTCTGACACCTCCTCAGTCTCTTCCCCCACCCCACTCACCCAGCTTTCTTTGATGAATATAATCTCTCAGCCATCAGGTATAATAAATAACCTGGCATGTGCCCTTCCACCCTATATGAGCTGGTCTAACCATCATCATCACTTCTCCAGCTCCTGTTTACCCTCCAAGAAGCACACACGGGCAGAAGCAGCAGTTAACACTGGTATTTCTGCAAGCTAGAAATTCTTGTAATTAAAACTTCTTTTGCAAGATCTCAGGAGTCTAAATAACCGTAAGGGAAGAAGAGCACCATCATGTTATCGGGAAATGTGATCAATAGAAATAGATAAAATCAGTAACATAGGCCTAAAATTTTACTCCAGGGCCCAACTATCAGATATAAATATATCTGTTGATTAAAACATGATAAGCTTACTATCTATATTCATTAGTAGCTTTCAGCACATACAGATAGTCTCTAAAAGCAGCAACACTTACAATCAGTCGTGTGATCAAAGTTAGTTCTGACATAATCACTTCCCAAAGCTTAGCAAAACAGGTCTTAATAGACTCAACAGCCATCCATTAAAGGAAGAAATAATTAGTTCGACAATATAAAGCTCAACACTAGTGCAAAACACGAAATTAAAGGCAACTGAAGAACACTAACTTATGGACAGTAGTCACCAATGTGATATTTATTAATATTTTAAATCTTAGAAGGCCAAACAGATTTGCAATGTAATTACATCAGCAACTTGCTAAAGCCAGCCAATGAGTCAACTGTCAAACCAACATTATCTCTATCTCTGTCTGAAAAACCAGAAAGCACTGACATCAGATAGCATTTAGACTTCTGACATAACAATATGTTGAAATTTACTCACCCAGAAAAAGGATAAACATGTTTTATAAATGTGACAGGCTGTCCATTTTGATAAATGCAAGCTGACAAATTATCCACAGGAGAACAAGCATATTAACCTATTTCACATAAGGTGGCTCAAATACGTAGCCTTCTACAGTTTCTGAAGAAGCCATACCACCACCAAAAAAAAAAAAAAAGTTTTTATTTGAAAAATATATATATGATCTTTCTTCAAAATCAGAAAAAAGAAAGGGTCTACATATCAATTGGGATCAATTCCAATAAACAAAAACTCATGCATTTAGACTGAAAAAATTATAGCCACTCTATAGTTTTGCCTTCTCTCTCTCTCTCTCTCTCTCTCTGTCTCACACACACACACACACACACACACACACACACACACTTCCATTGCCCCAGAGCACTAAACATATTAGCTTGTCCATACTAAACACATTCCTTGCTGTTTTCCTACTTCCTCAAACCATCCTCCATGCGATGGTAAACAGTGCTGACTTTCTCCATCTCAAAAATAGCTGGTAAATCCCTTCACAAAAGTAAGTGAGAGCGTCTATTACCCAAGAGTTGGGTTGACTCAACCGACTGGTTTCAGGATCTTGTTAGAAAATGCAAACTAAGCTAATTGTCTCCAAAAGAAAATGATCTCATGCCACATAGCTGAGAACTTGTGTGACTGTTACAATGCTATAGTAGGCACATGCCTGAAATGTGCAGCTCATGGGACCTCCCAAGGCCTCTAAAGGGATGTCTCCTGCTTAGACAATTCAGTGAAAGAAGCAGAGTTGTTGAAGAACACTGTTCTGCTGCAATTCCAAAGTCTCCGTAATAAAGACCGTACAGTACATTCCACATGGAAGACATCCGGGCTCAGAACTAAAAGACAGGAAGAATCAAAAAGCAAGTAAAAAAAAAGGACAAGGACATCCAGCTAATGCAAAAATGAAATTGTTCTAAGAGAGTTATTTGACGGTAATTCAGACCACTTAGCCAACCAGCCAAATTGCTTCTGTAATTATATGAAATAGGACAAAAACAAGGTTGCTCGACTTAGTGGTCAAGGTAGACCTCATTTCACCAGATAATTAGGTATTTCACCTGCTTGTAAGAGCAGTTTATAGACAGGCAAATGTACTGGGATGGTGTTTCCAGGCTGGGTCTGCAGCCATGGAAAGGAAGGGAAAGGGCTAAATCCCTTTGCCCACCCTCCCAGTGCCCTGCAAAGTATGGCTCATCAAAATCACTGTGTCCATTCACTATTGCTTTATCTGCAGCAACGTGACTTTGAATGCTTACTCATGTTCTTCACCTTGATATCAGGGTTGTTTTTAATGTAATAAGAGTGGTAGTTGCTGCCACTGATGGAGTTCTTGCTGCTTCCCAGGCAGCATGGTATGGCCTTTGGGCATTCATACAACCAATATGTATTAAATGTCGACCACGTGGCAGACTGTTCTAGGTTTGGGAGTACAGTCTGAATAAAACAAAGTCCATGCTGTCATGGAACTTTCTTTCCAGTAAGAGGAGAAAGACAGAAAAGTAAATATCGCCTCTATCAAGTGGTAACTGGAGCTATAAAGAAGAAAGTGGGTGAAAGTGGCAGAGGGTGACGGTGTCATCCTGACAAAGACCTCCTGACACACACTTGTAGTCAAACACATTAAGCTTACTGACTCATTCCAATAAGGGAGAACACATACTGTTGGGATCAAAGACTCAAAGTAAGAGCATGTTAAAGGACTCATGATAATATGTGGGCTGTGTGAGATGACTTGGGGAAGGATTCAGTCATGAAAGCAGGGTTTTGCTCTGGGCTGGACAGTGTCAGCACGTGGGGCTAATTCTATAATTGGATATCTTAATAATTCTTACGTGAAGGTAGGAAGGATGAGGCAACACAGTCACTCACAGCAGCCACAAAGGGGATATGTGATCATATTTGCAGTTTGGACAATATTCTTATTTTTATCTGCATTTAGACATCAGTATAAAGGCGTTTTGCTTTTGTCTTGATCCATTATGGTCACAGAGTGGCCTTATCTGATGTCGTGATCTGTGAAAGTGTTTATGCCCAGCAGAATGATGCAGCTGAGATAAGAGTGTCAGGCCAGCTCCCAGCTGTCAGGGGCTGCTTTTCTTTTTCACATGCTCAAACTGCAGGCAACCTTCCAAAATAGTCACTATTACCATTTCTCTTTTACAAATGATGAAACTAAGGTCCAGCAAGATAAAGGACTTCTCCTAGAGCAAGCAACTAAGAAAGCCAGGATTCAAACCCAGGTTATCTGACTCCAGAGCCAGACTCACAGGCACTTCCTACACAGACCCCTGCAGCACTGCACCTTTTGAGAGCTCCTTGGCAAAGGGTTATCTTCAAAAAGACCAAAGTGGCATCTCTACTTTGCTAAGGGTGGATGATGCCCACAAAGCCTTGAGGGGAAGCTGCCACCAGCAGACATTCCCAGTACCTACGTGCCCAAGAAATTAAGTCCACCTGATCATCATCAAGACAAAAGTATTTTTCTCCCAGAGATGAGGATACATTATCCATTTTACTTAAATTGGAAGGTTTCTTTTTCCATAAGTTAGTCAAAACTAATTTATCTCAGCAACTTATGACCTATAAACATAGCTTTTAATACTGGAACAAGTATGTTAAAATAACATAAAAGTCAAGTTCCAGTGTGTAAAGGTGACAGAGTATAAAGCAATTAATATCGATTTTATCCCATATTCTAAAAACACCCTCTCCCATATCATCAGAAGTCGGGGCTTACCAAAAGGTTTTCCGGCTTGAGGTCCCGGTGGACGATGCTTTTGTCATGCATGTGAACAAGGGCCTTGCATAAGTCCATGATCATGAGGGCAGCGTCGGGCTCCGGGAACTTCACGCTTTCTATGATGGCGTCAAAAAGGTCTCCTCCCTGCACATACTCCAGGATCAGGTAGATTTCCGTGTCTGTTTCATAGACTTCATGCAGTTTCACGATGTTGGGGTGAGAGAGGCTCTGGATGATCAAGATCTCGCTGTCCACCATGTCCTCCTTGCCCTTGAGTCTGGACTTGTCGATGATCTTCATCGCGTAAGCCTGCCTGGTCTCACGGTGCCTGCATTCCTTCACGACAGCAAAGTTCCCGTCCCCAATGACCCGGCCGGTCTCATAATGCTTCTCCACGTTGGCGGCAATGACGCCCACGGGCCGCGGCTTCCGACCGCTGGGCCGCTCTGGCTTGTTCTCCTCTGGCCTCGTCTTGGGCTCCTTTTCTAGCTTTGCAGGTTGGTCATCTCTGAGAATTGTCTTTCTGCCTCCAGACACGCACGGCTTTTTCTCCTTCTCTGCCTCCTTCTCTTCTCCTCGGGTCCTGGGGAGCTTCTCAAAGCCAGCCTGGTGCTCTCTCAGGAGCCAGCCACTGTGCTTGCTCCTGCTCATGAGCCTGGTGTCTTTCTTCACCTCCCTCAGCCCCTCCTCTGTGACAGGAGGAACTTCCGCAAGGTCCTTCTTGGCCTTAGCTGATCCCTGAGCATGGCTTTCTTGATCCTCCGGGCCTCTGTCCTCCTTCTTGTCCGTGCTTTTGCTGGGTCTCCTTGACTCCTGAGTGGGATTCCTGGGGCTGCTCCTGTGGCTGTCACCCTTCCATCCTTCATCCCCACCTGCAGGATTTGCCTCGGGAGACCTCCTGCAGCTTCTGGTCCTAACCAGCTTCTCCATGTCGTACACTGGGCCCTTCTCCATATCCAGCTCACTGGTCCCCAGAGAAAGCCTCTCCCTCTGCAGGCTCTGCTGCAGCTCCCTCTCTCTCTTGCACTTCTCGCATCTGATAATTTCACCCGAGGACTTTTCAATCTCCACCCCGAGGTGCTTCTCTTCCCTTGCGTGCCTCTCTTCTAGAGTGGCTTCCCTGGGCAGCTTGCTCCCGGGTTCTGGCTCCCATTTCCCCCTTCCCAACTTCTTCTGGGTCCTCGCTCTATCATCTAGTGAGAGCTCCTCAGGGATCTTCCCCTGGTGCCTCATGGCTGCCTTGTACCCTGCAACCTCGCTGCAGCTCTTGGGGGTCTCCGTCTCCCCACATCGGTGGTCTCCTTTCAGAGCCTTGCTATACAGCCTGCTCCTCAGCCTTGGTGAAGGGGCGCGGCTGTGCTGGGCCAGTGTCAGGGCCCGGGCTTTGTTGGGGTACAGTTCTTCTACAGCCACCTGAATGCTCTTCAGTGTCAGTGGTTCTTTGCCCATTGCTATGAAAGCATCCCCTTCCCTGAAGAAATCAGAGACGCTCCTGATTTCCCTGCCCTTGAGGTTAAATAGTTTTCTCACGCGGTCATTCTTCCACCTGGGAGAGCCCAGGCCTTCTGAGATGTCTGCTAAGAGCTGCTCGAACGTCTGCATGGACCGCCTGTTGAGGAGCAGGGTGATCTTTCGGGGGCGCTGCCCACCCAGCTTCACCACGGTCACGACCCTGGGCTTCAGCGGGCTGTTCTCAGGGTGTACCGAGTGAAGGCTGTTCCGAGGGCAGAACAAGGGCACGACGGGGCCACGCGGCCCCAGGAATGGTTTCTCCAGATTCCCTCGGCCAGCAGGCAGCCAGGAACCTTGCAGCTTCCGTTCTGTGATTCTCGAGCTTAAATATTTTAGAGAATGGTCACATAGGCCTTGCTGTCCTGCAACAGGAAAAGGACAAAAGGAAAAGTCAAGATGGGTTCAGAGAGCCCTCAGCCTTCACCAAAGCTTTACTAAAGATGGATGACTGATTCTGATATTACGCTTTATGATTGTGGTCTCTGAGAGTCTTTTAGAAATGATGGAGCCTTTATACTTAGTCTCCTCTACACCAGGAGTGCAGAACAGAGTCAGCGTTGGGCCTGCAGTCATTCCTGTAGACCTCATAGGGGCCCCCAAGATGGGCCACACCTCGAGAGCTGATACAATTTGGCTCTGTGTCCCCACCCAAATCTCATCTTGAATTGTACTCCCATAATCCCCACGTGTTGCGGGAGAGAGCCAGTGGGAGACAACTGAATCATGGGAGCGTTTCCCCCATGCTGTTCTCATGGTAGTAAGTCTCACGAGATCTGATGGTTCTATCAGAGGTTTCTGCTTTTGTGTCCTCCTCATTCTCGCTTTGCCTGCTGCCATCCGTGTTAGATGGGACTTGTCCTTCCCTGCCTTAAGCCATGATTGTGAGGCTTCCCCAGCCATGTGAAACTCTAAGTTCAAGTAAACCTTTCTTTGTAAATTGCCCAGGCTTGGGTACGCCTTTATCAGCAGTGTGAAAACAGACTAATAGAGGAGTCCTCACAAGGCGAGGCTGCCTCTGTAAACGCAACTCCAGCTACCCCAAAGTGAACTGACCTTCAAGGATCTACAACAGAGATAAAAAGGGCCAGGTTTGTTGCCCATGAAATGCCAACAAAAGGCAGGAACATTCCAGACAAAAGGCAGGAACATTCCAGAACTTTGAAAACCCCAACTCTTACTCATCTCTTTGCCAAGAACAGTTTTTTCAGCTTGACTATGAACTCACTCACGGTGGGGCAGTATGTGAAGAGGTTATGGTCACGGGGTTTGAGACAGATCTGGATTTTCATCCCAGCACGGCCACGGACTACTTGTGTGAACTTGGGCAAATTATTTGCACTTCATTTTTTTTTTTTTTCATTTATAAAGTAAGAATGCTACAGCTGCCTCCCAGGGTTTTTGTGAAGAATAAACAATCAAATTACAACTCATCTAACAGACTGCCTGACGCATGGTAAAGACACAATAGTTGCTAGTTATTAATACCATCCTTATGATCTTAATATCCATTTTATATTATAATTTCATTTCATTAGTAACATAATCTGCCAATAAGGTAGAAGTCTACTGTGCACAACTTGACCTGGCATCACAAGAACTCATAGGCCAACATGATACGGTAGGTATTTCTTTATATATATTTATATTTTTTTTTCTTTTTTTGCATTTTAGGTTTTGGGGTACATGTGAAGAACGTGCAAGATTGTTGCATAGGTACACACATGGCAATGTGGTTTGCTGCCTTCCTCCCGATCACCTATATCTGACATTTCTCCCCATGTTATCCCTCCCCAATTCCCCACTCCCCACTGTCCCTCCCCTAGTTCCCCACCACAGACCCCAGTGTGTGATGCTCCCCTCCCTGTGTCCATGTGTTCTCATTGTTCAACACCCGCCTATGAGTGAAAACATGCAGTGTTTGATTTTCTGTTCTTGATATGGTAGGTATTTCTTAAAGCTCTGACTGAGATTCACTCACATTATAGTATAGAAAAATTGAAGGAGGCTTCAGTCTAGGTGTAGACACTTCCTTGTCCAGATGGTTTTCCCTCTTCTTATTAAAAAATGTAAAGAAATCAAGGTTCAGAGCTTAAATAATGAGAACATACATGAATAAAACAATACTTCATATTTCCTGATTGACTATACCCAGCCAGAGTAAAGCAGCTGAGGCAAGAGTGGTTTAATTTCCTCAATTTCTATCCAGGTCGGGAAGGGAAATTGGAAAAGAACAGAATGTATAACTCAGTTAAACCACAAGGGCGGGATGACAATTATTAAAGTTACCCTACAAGACCCATAGGTCATATCCTACATGGAAAAATCTGCTGTTTATGCTTCCTTTAAAAAGAAATTTAAAATAATCATTTATAAGTGTATTTAAATCAACTGTAGCAGAAACTCCAGTTGTGCCAGATGGGTATTTTGGCCCAGCAAATCTACACAGAATGTTTTTTGTTTTTTAATTATAATGTACAATCTGTTCTGAGATGATTTCCATCTAGACGCAGGTGTCAGATGAGACGACAAGGTAGTGGCTGATACTGATCTTCCCACACGCCACAAATTTATGAGCTTAACAATCACATTTACAGTTAAACTATTTATGGACATGTTACCCCATTTCTTCTCACAGTCTCTTTAATTACTCTGCCTCCATATTTGCCTGAGATAGCTGATGTTGAGAGAAAGAAAAAGAGCTACAGAAGGAATACAGTTTGTATTTCCTGCATTGGGGAACTGAGGAAGAGTGTCAAGGAAGGTGACCATCAAATGCATATGCACAAAAGGGCTGGCGTTCTTGTTGGTTTTTCTTATGTGCTTCGCACACAGTAGGATCCTTGATATGTAATGTTGGACCAAGTAAATGAAGTCCTTATTATTTTCTCAGAAGACTCAGTATAGGGACAGAGAAAGTGATTTTAGCCTATATCCTGGACTGAGACTTTTCCAAGCAGATGTGGAAAAAGGATAGGGAGGCCCACGGAATCAACTACTGGCTGTGGTCACAAGAGGGCAGACCCACCAGGAAAACCTACAGACATAAAGAGGACATAATGGAATCCAATGGAAGTACCAGGAGAATGAGCAACCAAGAGTGCTAGGAAGACAAGATTTGAGTTGGGCTTTCAACACCTGATGAGGTAGAGGCCACCCAGTACAGGGGCCAAGGAACCATGACATAGGGCAGGACCCATGGTCCACATAGCCACTGAGGTCAGCACAGATGAAGCAAAGACTCTGGTAACACGGAGAAATGAATGGACAGCCACTATATGACCGTGGCAAAGCAAGGGTGTACATTATATCACCAGATGATAAAAGCCTGAGCTAAGGAAAGGTGTTACAGGAGGGAAGAAAAATAATAGCTTTGAAGCAGACCTGGGGAGCCAAATTCTGAGCTCTACCTTCAAAATCTACAGTCCCTGGAAAGTAAGAATTATTCATTACAGGGAAGAAATAGAAGAGTGCTCCTCAGGGGAGAGCCAATAGGACGAAGGAACATTCAGTGAATACCTTAAGGATATTTGAACCTTTCACGTAGAAGGAGGTTCAGGAGAGCCCCTGAACCCTCCTGGAAGGTCCAGGATGGGATGTCAGGGAGGCACAAAGCAGTGCTCATGGAACAGGACTGACAGTGGTGGGCCTTACATATTGAGTGGTGACGTAGAGTGACAAAGAGGCCCAAACTATGATAGGACCAGTGGCCTCAAGGTCCCAAACATTGGAACTGTAGAGTCTGAGTGTGATAATGGATGACTTGGCACAATGGTACCCAGAGCTGGGTAGGGAGAAGAGGGGATGTGCTCTCTGGGATGTCTGTGCTCATCTAGTTTCAGCAGACCCTACCTCAAAGCTTTCCCTGATCTCTGGTGGTTAGGAGAACAATCTGGGAACACCCCATCCCTGAACCAAGGATGGGGTCCATAAGAGCAGCCTCCATCCCAGGACATGGTCAAAAAGGACGTAAAGACAGAATAGCTCTGCCTCCATGACACCAACATCAGGCATGTTCTTTCCACTGCCCAGGCATTCACAAGCTCATTCAAAAACTCCTTGGTCTGGAGCAAAAGTGAGAATTCAGCCTCCACCTCCTTAGCATAACTGAGACCTACTGAAATTGTACTTCTTCTAGCTATGACTGCTTCAAGCTACTGGGAAGCATCAGGAAATTCAACCTTGGGATGCACTGATTTTTATCCTTTCTTCCACAAGACCTCTTTCCTCTCTTTTAAAATAGTCTAGAGCACGTTCTTCTTCTTTACAGGTAAGAGAATAAAATAAGAAGATTCTGAATGCCTGGTCCATGGGCAGGGAAAGCAAACATTGGGGAGAGCACAGCATATCCTTTGGGCCTGGGGCTCAGTCTCCAGGAACATGTTCATGCTACAGGACAACTGCACACAGCGTAGTTTCAGGCTCCCACTAAGCACCACTGTTCAGAACCTACCCCAATCAACCTAACTACAAAGCCACAGGCCTGCCCGAGTCTACTCAGCTCCAGCAACAACTTTACTTACAAAATCAATAAAATGGAACCACATGAAATTGCTGGTAGTTCTACCAATTTTCACCTATAAAAAACAAATTTCATGTGGCTCTCCCTCATATAGGTTGAGCATCCCAAAGCCAAAAATACAAAATCTAAAATGCTCCAAAACCTGCAAACATTTTGGGCACTCAAATACCTACCAAAGGAAATGATCACTGGAGCATTGCAGACTTCCGATTTTCAGATCTGGGGTGCTCAACTGGTAAGTATAATGCAAATATCCCCAAATCCAAAAAAAAGATCCACTTTTTGTCCCAAGCATTTTGGATAAGAGAGACTCACTCAACCTGTATAATCTAGGATAATAATCCATATTCACTGTATCAATGGAAAATTGTTTATGAAGTCATAGATAGTAAAAATTAAACATTCTAATTCTGTCTTCAGCCACCAAGCCAGCCACATCCCAGGAAGTAACACAGGGAAAGTAGGTTCTTATTAATACCTTATTTTTCTGTTAACTTCCTACAGTAATATAAATTGGCCTGGACTCGGCAAAACTGCTGCTTCTACTTCAATACACCAAAATACAAATGTTTATAGGGTCTTTCCTCAATGCCAATCTAACCCCACATATACAGCAGAGCAAACACTGCTTTTGATAAGCCATCCATCTGCTCAATAACCTACAATAGCTCCTTATTAGCCTCCAGGAGGACTGAACCCAAATTCCTCAGCTTGACACATAAGGCATTTTGCAATCCCAACCCACTCCCCAACTCATCCAAGCCCTGCCATCTTGTAAAGCCTAAGACCCATCTCTACTCTCAAACCATCTCTGTCCTCACAAGTTCGCAGTGATGGCTCCCT